TTTCTGCCTTTTTCCGTGCATCTTTCTGTAACCGTGCACAAAAATGTCAAAAGATTTTTTAGTGCACGGAAAACAGCAAACCGTGCATAATTCTGGAAAAAACCGTGCACAGAAAAATCCTCGTCCAGCCCCAATTTAGAGCATCATGTACTGAATATATTATATTATTCATTAATCTCCTTATTTTCTTAGTAGAGTCAGTTTAAAACAGAATGAGGTATATCGTTTTAATAAGGAAATTTTATTCTTCAGAAAAACGACTCGACTTGAACAGGAAACTAAAAGAACAGCAGAAATATCTATTTACTTATTTCAAAACCGATTTGATGTTGTTAGTTAGTCGTCTCAGCTTCTACGAGGCTCAAAACTAGTAATTTGAAATTTTCTGAATACCTGTCTATTACCTATTACTAATACCATTTCTCTCAAATGTGCCCTAGAAACGAGTAAAATGAAACCTCAATAGAAGTCAAATATGCTAGTCCATTCCGAAAAGTGAAGGTAAACGACCTGAATTTGACTTACCAAGTGATAAAAGCAAAAAGATTTTTTTAGGATCTAGTTTGAAGCTGGATTTTTGGAACATTCATCTAGTTCTTACCCGGTTGGAGCAAATATTTTAATAATTTCCAAATAAATGTTTCAACAATTTAGCTCTCAAGATAGATCCAAAAAATATCCTTTTGCTTGAGAAGTACCCACCTTTATTATCGTTTATAGGACAGATCGATCTATTCGAATTTTCCGAATTCTGTTAAATGACACTGATTTGTTTATTTAAGATGTTGTATGCGAATATAATACGAACAAGTTCTTATAACCTATCACTGTCAGGAACTAATTGTTTTATTGATTAATTTCAATAGATCATCTTTTGACTGTGCGGCATTCATTCATACAACCTGTTCATTAATCATGATCGATTTTAAACCTTTTCTATATTCTTTTCCTTTGTTGCATCTGATTAACAACTTGTCGAGTTGTTCACACTCAGATTTCTGAAAATGAACTGTCACATGCCATTGCTGTGAGGAGTTGCGGAAGACAATAAAGTGTTATATACTTAATAATTTATTATTATTTAAGATTGATTGATTTCCTGTTGAAACATATGTTGTTAGTTAAATCGATCAGTGATCTTATGACCAACAAGCTGTTCTATATTCTAAAGTTATCAAACATGCTGACTTCTGTATAGTTGAAATAATTAAAGTGGATGATGCAATTTGTTTCCAAAGTTTAAACTTAACTGATCGCTATGTCGTTTTTGTTTATGAGACAAAGAAAAATGTATCTATCGCGTTGATATTCATTTTTCTCTAATTAAAATATTAAGAATAATGTAATGAGCTACGAACCAAAATGGTTAGTTGTTGATATTGACATGAGTCTATCTTTGATTTTAGCATTAATTAAAAAGAAAGCCATTGTTTTTCAATACTACCAGATTGAAAGATACTTCATTCTGAATCTGTTAAAACGAATTTTTGTAGATATGTCATCAACAGCCAGTGTAGCAAAGAACCTGATATCAAAAGTCAAACTGAATGATGGCGTGGAAATGCCGTTGTTTGGTCTTGGTGTCTATCTAATAAAAGACAATTGTGAGATTTATTTTCCGCTTTATTTTGACTTGTATCTGGAATATGATTGTGCTTTTAGGTGAGCATTTAATTCATGCTGCTCTTGATAAAGGTTATCGCCTACTTGATACAGCTGAACTTTACCAGTAAGTACAATGCCATTCATAAATAGTCTTCTAATCATAGTTTTTTTCCATTATTTCTTTAGCAATGAAGCTGGTGTTGGGGATGGCCTGAAAAAGAGTGGTTTAGCTCGTGAAGATGTTTTTATTGTTTCGAAATGGTTTCCGTCGAATGAAGGAGCTGAGGGAGCAAAAAAAGCGTTGTCAACCTGTTTGAAAAAGTATGGTTAAGTGATTAATTTCAAATAAAAAGTTTGACATATAAAAAAAGTAAATTTTTTGTTTAGCTTAAAATCAGATTATGTTGATTTATATCTCTTGGTGAGGATTGATTCAATCATTCGTCATCTATGATAGTTTAAGTCATCTTTTTTTATGGTTTCAGCATGCTCCTCAGGGTGGTAAATGTGCAGAAGCATATCGTGCATTGCTCGACTGTAAAAAAAATAAACAAATCAGGTAAAGTGCCGTTTATTTGCTAATTTTTGTATTTTTTTCTATTTAACTTCATGCATGCTAGATCACTGGGCGTTTCGAATTTTGGCGTACATCATTTAGAAGCAATGGAAAAATTAGGTTTAGAAGCACCATCCGTGAATCAAATCGAACTCCATCCTTGGCAGCAAAAAACAGATATAGTTGATTATTGTCGAAAGAAAGGGATTGCAGTTATGGGCTATTCACCGCTGGCCAAGGGTAACAAAGTCAAAGATGAAACTGTTCGAAAAATTGCTCAAAAGTAAGATTTTGTTCTATTTACGGATTGAAAGTTGAGTATGGATATTTTTGTCATCTAAAGATTGAATAAGACACCTGGACAAGTGTTAATACGATGGTCTGTTCAACATGGATTTATAACGATTCCAAAAACATCAAATGAAAGTCGATTGGAGGAGAATGCCGATGTGTTTAATTGGACAATACCTGATGAAGATATGAACATCTTGGTAATGAATACATAAAATTACTAATTAAGATCTCGTAATAACTTGCTCTTTTCCAGAATGATTTAGGCAAAACTCCGTGGAGTTGTACTTGGAATCCGACGACAAATACTCTCGAGGAAGCTGGCTTAATAGAGAAGAAAAAATAACAAGCGTTTTCTGAAGGGTTTTATTCGATTGTCCCTTTATAGTTTCTATTTAACTCTGCATTTTTTAGAGATTCTTTTCTATTTAATAAACAAATCCCGTGCTATTCGTTACGCGAACTGTAAAAGTGAAGTATAGACGTCTGAGAAACATAACATGCTATTTATTTATTTATTTTCGACTGCTAGCCGCTTCTGTCTGAATTCTTTATGTTAAATTATTCGATGATCTATTCTACTGCTCTCTTGTCCGCTATCCACAATTCTGTTGTACAAATGCTGTAACTTCGTGGCGCTTCTCCGATCTTTTCAGCAGAATACTCAAGAAAATCTACCTCTATCACTCAAATAAGAACAATCATTATAGAGAGAATGATACACAACATCGTGGGACAGTATTGTTTATATATACCTGACATTCTGTTTGTGTTCTCGAGCATTAACCTTGTCATTTCTTTTATGTATTTAATTATTCTATCTCTCTCTGAATTTATACTGCGTTTATATTATGTTATTATTATAGCTGTGCACGACCTTCTCAGTAGTGCGAAATCCATTCTTCACTTTGCATTGCTTTACTCTCGCGCTCTGTCTTGTTTGAACTCAAAAAAATGTTTCACCTAGGTTATTAGATTTGCCTGAAAAACACAAAATAATTTTCAAAAACTTGATCAGCGAAGTGTACCGTTACGTGGATAAACTGTACAGTGTTTATGACACGTTAAAAGCTATAGGAGAATATATAACAGGATAATGGATCAGCTGATATAAGAATATAGGAATTTTTCTTGAAAAATAGTCAAACTGTTTCTGCTATGAGATAATTAATTGTCACGTGATTCACTTCATAGTGAATATATGCTACAGTCCTGGATATGATGTAAGCTATACTAAGTTAGAACATATGACACGATAATGAATCAGCTGAGATAGGAATATAGAAATTCTTCTTGAAAAGTAGTCAGACTGTTTGTCAGAAGTTCATCATATTTTCAATAACTTTTCTATGAGATAATTAATTGTCACGTGACACTTCATACACATTCAGTATGAATAGTGTAGTGATTCATTCAATAATCACGTGCTATTGTCAGCCTATCCTTCTGTATAGTTTAATGCATTTAGAATATGTTTTTCTGTTCGAGTTAGACAGTCGTTCTCGGTTACCTCTGATCCTATAAATTTCGGCAAAAAAAAATTCGAAAGTAGAGAAGTGGAAGATGACGCATCTGAAGTTACTTTTTCAATATTTGCTTTAGTTATTTTATAATTAGTGTCACAAAATGCGTATATTTTTTACACAACTCTATCGTTTCTGCTATGAGATAATTAATTGTCACGTGACTCATCTCAATATGTATTCAATGAATATATGCTACAGTACTCTATATGATAAAAGCTATACTATAGTAGAATATATGGCACGATAATGAATCAGCTGATATAGGAATTCTTCTTCAAGTGAAACTGTTATGAGTTTGTAGATGTTCTAATTCCGTCTATTTATCGTATCATTCAGTCGACTTTCCAATCTATGCGCAACATCTAGTTATTCTATCTCGCTCTGAATTTATACTGCGTTATATTATGTTTTTATTATAGTTGTACACAGCCTTCTCGGTAGTGCGAAATCCACTCTTCACTTTGTATTGCTTTACTCTCGTGCTCGGTCTTGTTTGAACTCATCGCCAAAAGAAGAACGGTTTCGTATTCGACTGTATGATATATTTTTAAAAAATGTGAATTTTCAAATT